TTTTTTTTTTTTTTTTTTTGTTAGAAGCTCGTTTCTTCTTTTGTGCGCTGAATTATTGTATCATACACCGGTTTTGCTACGAATTTTGTTCCCAATGAAAATGTGATGTCCGCGAAGATTCGTTATCCGAGGCTCTATCCTCACTTAAAAGTATTACGAAGGTAAAGTTTCTTTTCAAAATAGCCCTATTTACTAACTGTAAAACAGGCTATTGGATTTTCCTCAAGCATTCGAATTCCAGAATTGAAATTCAAAATCCAAATGGGTAAGACTGACCACAGGCCATTCGAGTAATGACAGGATATCATCTTTGCGGCGTGGGTCCAGATAATCAATCGGTTCATCCAAAATTAATTCCAAAAATTCCTCGTACCTCCCAAATTCTTTACGGTAGCTTTCCATGTACGCACGTGACTGGCTTCCTTCTGGCAAGAAATATTCCTCTTTAATATCGATCCTAGAAACGACTATTGTCCATACAGTAGTTTGTCGAATTCAAGCCTGTTCTTACATGCATTTTAGTTATACTGGAGTGCAAAAACACACCCGCGCAAGAAAATCTATGCGTGTTATGTGAGCGTGTGTGCATGTGCCTGTTTGTTTGTGGGTGTGTGTATGTGTGTGTGTGTGTGTGTATGCATGCATGTGCCTTTTTGTTTGTTCATCCATCTAAGATTTGTATGATTATTCGCTTTTATTCTGGATAAAATTTTATGAAAAAAAGCCTCCAATACTGTGTAAAGCCTTGAACCTGGAATCTCCCAGACCGTCTTGTGTCTGGTTTTTATTCTCTGATTAAAGTTTATATAATAAAAGTAATAATAAAAAAGACGTACGAAAATGAAAAAAACTAAATAAAAAACGCTGCAGGCTGTAATTTTTGCAGAAAATGTCCATAAAATATACAGTAGGAGTAGAAAAGGGAAAATAGAAGTATTCAAAATGTTTGTACCGGAGGTCCTTGCATCCCCAGAATGCAATCACAAGGTAAATAGCGAAGATGAAGGCCACCGGACATCGCAGGTATGAATTAGCTACAGCGGTTGCAGCGGCTCTTGAGAATGACGGCTTTGTGTCCACAAGCTTCTCGTGCAGCAGTGCTATATTTGAATCACTGAACTCATTGACCGTCCGAGCTGCAACATTCCAAGCTCTAAGCCCGTTACGTACTGTTGGCGCTGATACTGATTCTTGATGCCTGGCTCATTCCTCATACAGGCCAAAAACTTTCTATCATAAAAAAACTCAAATATGTCTGAAATTTTTGAAATTCTAAACATCAAAATAACTAACGTGCAAAGTGGGTGTCTCCTGAACGAAAGCACTGGTACCACTTGACTCCTTTGGTTTCACGACGACCGGCAACATATAGAAATACGGAGAAGAAAAGAAGGGCAAAAATAAGTAGAACAGCAACTCCAGCAGCTAGCACAAACGACATGTACTGCAGATAGGGGCTTCTAGTCGTCGATCCAACAACCGCTGAAAAGCACTTGAGCTGAGTTCTCGAAACTCGATGCAGCGATCGCGATGAGTACACATAATCTGACTTCCTCCTCTTCAACAATCCCTCAGTTTCCCTTAAAATTATGAACTTGGCTTGCACCCTACCTTATAGCAGTGATTCCTACTTTTCCACATCTCGGCAAAAGACATAATTAAAACAAGGACTTCTTGCGTCGTAAATGGTCAATAATTTTACCAAGTTCAAAAGTTTTCTTTCTGACTGATTGAGCGTTTGCTTTTTTAAACAATTTAAACAGCTCCTTCAGTTTGATTTAAATCGTTAATAATACAGCATGAAGATAACTATAACACCAAGAATATAAAGATCGCAGTGACAATCCCATGTTGCTAAATGCTTTAGAAATGCTCTCACACGCCGAGTACAGTTATGCGGGAGGATCGGTCCTGAGATACGTCACCTATCGCCTGTTCTGTGCATCCGTATCACGCGTACAAGCTATTTTGGTAGAAAACAAGATTATGGTAGTCAGAGAATATGGTTCACGTGGTTCAGAGGATGTGTTCATAATTCCCCGCAAGCCTGATGCGAGTCGCAACTGATTTATCACTATGTTTCGCACCTACGTTACTGCTTACAATACAGTTCTTCATGTACCATAACATGATGTTTACACCACGCGGCCCTAATGAAAAAAAAAACATTTCCAGTGAACACTGAATAGTTTTCCAGCTTAAATATCCAGACGAAAACTATTATTAATTATAGAACTGTAATTTTTTTCGTAACAGTAGAAGGAGCGAAGATGAGAAAAAGCATGACGGCGGCAAAACATCCCTTCACATTCATAAATATTCATTTTTGGATTAAAAATCACGTGAAATAGTTCGCAGTTTAATGCCATTCCGTCTGCCGCTCTCTCACAATTTTTTTTTATCAGCTTCATTATTATAAAACTTGAGAAGACCGCGATCACTAGCATACTGACCAGTGGGAGATGCGACATTTGTCGAAGCAACTGGAGAATTTGCGAGCTGCATAACTGAAGAACAACACTATGAACTGCAGTTAATACAAGCGTCAAAATATCCTACTGATTTCTAAAATTAGCCCTTTTCTGTAATCCAAGAGTCTCTTAAAAAGACGAATTTAGATAATCAAAATTTTCCTCAAAATCCAATTTTCAAAGGCTTCGATTCCTGGTGCGAAATCCTTTTAGCGAAGTGAACTAGACCCAGTTTAGCAACAATTTCTCCATTGTATCTGTGTACTTGTTCCGACCAGTTTCAGTCCATAGCGTGGTTCACCACTTATGCAAGTGGCAACTTTTTCAGTTTCTCTGACTAGTGATATAACATCTGGTGGCTAGTCTGTTGGCGACTCTGACATTCGTTTCTTCCCTGGGAGGAATTTTCATTTCAGCGGTTCTTCTGAAGAATGTAATTTAGCGAATAATTTTGAAAGAATGAAGAAAGGCGGAAAAAGTTAACCGAATGAAATAATTATCATCAGTGCGGTAATGGCGGTACACGGCGCATCCCAACTCAATATCAGTGATAGCTTTTCCACTGGATCGCAAGCAACATTTGAGTACTTTGACCATGTGTTTTCCAAAGTGAACAGTACTAGGACACCAATCCCTGAAGTGGAATTTTGCTAACTGATATAGTGATGCTACAGTTTTAATGCGTATATACGATATTTAGCGGATTTTGAACGGATGAGAAAAGACTGCCAGTGTGAAGAAAGACCCAAAATTCGAATGTGGAACTGCGCTGGTGAAAAATGCCAATAGAAAAGAATGGAGAAGCTGCTGTTTGCATCAATGGCAGAAACTTGTTGATGAATCAAAAACAGCTGATCAAAGCGTACATAATTTTTGAATATATTTGTTTTTTAATTTTTTCCTTTTAAATAATACCCAAACATTGCACTAAATTACAGCATAATACAGACTGATTTTTTTAAAATTGGATTTCAAGTGTGTAGCTTTAAACTGGTGAAAGAACGTTTCATGTAAAGCGAGTTACAAATATGACACGCAACGATCTTGAAATTGATTCTTTGCTCAACCTATTCTTCGTTATTTCAAAATTTTTATGCATCTTGTGCCGAGTATTAGTTCAAGATTTGCTTGCTGGTAAATGTGCTGTACTACCCTGCTGCAAGACATGGTCTCCTTCTAGAAATGTTTTTTCTTACCCGCGCCCTACGCTCAAAATATTTCCGATTTTTTGCCTGAAAATAATAAAAAAATACGAACCAATTAGACAAAAAAAGACCGGGAAGACAACTGAATTGATGTATCCAGTGCCGGTCAGTTGTACGAAGAAGCCAGCCAAGCAGGATACGATTAGAGTAATGCCAATTACCAAACCCAAAACTGGTTTGCTCTGTAACACTGTTTGCTCAGACACGATCATTACGTTCTGCAGTTAAATCGCCTTTTCTGTGTTTTCCTCAAAAATCTGAAGTTTGTGCCTGTCGCATTTTTGTTAAATTCAACGAATTTTAGACTGCACTTTCATTTCTATGCGCGCTCACGTATTATGCAAATGCAAAAACGCATGCTGGCAAGAGACTATCTGTGTGTGTGTTTGTGTGTGTGTTCGCACTTTCTGTCACCCACTTTCAACTCGCGAAACAGAACGCTAGAAAGCTGAAACTTCGGGAGCATGTGCTCATTCCTTGCGCGTGCCCTCTCGTTTTCATATTATCATTCACATACGCTTGGGTTCCGTGCACGAACGTCTTAAAAAATACGTTAATTTTCCGGCGAAAAAACGACTTCGGGAACCAAACAAGATGGAAGACAAAAAATTTAAGGATGTTCCCTGCCCATTTAGTCCATTTACAATTTAAAGGCTTCAAGCTCAGCGCCAGAACGCATAGTTCTCACGTGCGAGCTAATTTATTCAGATTAGTCGTTGTAGAGGGAACCCGTATTAGTGATGTAATAGAAATGCTCTCAGAAGCCATTTCAGGATGTTCGGTTCTGAGATATACACCTCCAGTTTATATCCACCGCTTGTCCAGTGCAGGTCATTTTTTTTAAATGCTGTCAAATGGTCGCTTGCTTTTCTGCCAGTACCATTCGCTAATATGTGATGTTCATTAGCTATCAGCAAGCTTATTCATCGTGGACGCTATGATACCCCTACGCGTCACTAATCTGACGGAGCACTTGATTGTTTGCATGACTAGCATCCTTGGAAGAAACACTAGCATCCTTGGCTCGTTGCTCTCTCCGCCACAAACAGCCTCGTTCTTGTTGATTCATCA